CCAAGTCCAGTCTTGGGCGGCCAAGAAGGCAATCATACTTTTATTTTTAACAGTGTATTATGTTCAGCGTTTATTACAGTAGAAATTAGTTGCTAAACGATTGGTTCATACGCCTTTATTTCATGGTACAATCGATACTGTTCATCCTTGACCTACTTAACGTTTTGGCTTCCTTGCAAACGAAACACAAGTCTTCTATTTTGGGTCAAGGCCTTTTGAGTTTTATATGTTATGCTGTAAATTTTGTATGTCACGATATGGAAACTATCTAGTACTAAACATATGGTATATAAATACTGTGTTCGTGAAGGCATTGTTGGATTATTTACAATAATGATAATAAAGAAAGTTTGCATACAAAATGGAATCATTGTTTTTATTTTAGAGAAACTATTTATGATGAGATGATGAGAACCTACAGCCTTATCAATACATAGTATAAAACAAAGTCGCTTTCGCTGTATGTCCGTATGTATGCTTAGATCTTTAAAACTACGCAACGGATTTTGATGCGGTTTTTTTTAATAGATAGAGTGATTCTTAAGGAAGGTTTGTATGTATAATACATGCATATTGCACCCGTGCGAAGCCGGGGTGGGTCGCTAGTTTTAGATAAAATTATCTCTATTACGTATTTTTTATGTTTTACAGAATGCGCGGAATAACTATTGAAACGCTGTTCAGTAATAATACGTATTCCACATAGAACTCGTGGAGAAATAACCCTGTTTAGCTGTGTTATTTATGCGTCATATTTCATTTTGAAGTTATAATGCATATATTAGTTAAGTTTTAATTTATTGCACCGTAAAAGTACGAAAGAACTAAAGAACCTAATTTCCAACTGACAAGCAATGTAAGTACATAATAATAACTTAGGCCTTGGAGCTATTTAGTATTTACAACTTATAAGAAGTTACACGACTTTTTGATAAAAAGTAAACTAATTTTGTGTACTTCCATCGTGTAGCCAAGATTTAATTGGGGAGTGCCAGCGTAATTTAAGCCCAAAGCTAAATAATTACAACGTGTTTTCCTTAAATCAAATGTTATTTACACTAATTAGAGAGTATCTACTTAGAAATTATAATAATAGTAAACAGATTGTCGTGTTGGGATTATTTAATATTAATATCTGATTTTCATGTGTAATTTTTCTTCGTTATTCTAAAAGTATGTTATGTACTCTTTTTTTCGAATGTAAACTTTAGTATACCGTGTTTTCTATGGTGAAAATTATTTATTGAACAACGAATGACAATAATTTGCTTTTTATACGTGTAGCAGGTTTATCAGAATTCGTTCCAGCCCGGTTTATCTTACTGTCTAAATCATAGTCCGCCCCTGTAGTGAAATGTATAAAACACAAATATTAATTTATGATTTTCTTGTTTCACAGATAAATCTTCGGTTAATCCTGGTGTCGGGCAAGACGAAGGAGTTCGTGTTCAGTCCAGTAGACTCAGCAGGCGACATCGCGATACATGTCTACGACAACTGGCCTGAAGGTAAATGTTAGATACATACATAAAAACCGACCAATCAATGCTTACCAAAGAAATGAATTCCTTAAAAAACGTAAAATTAGATCATTATAACAATAGATACTGTCGCCGCACTGAATCAATATTTATTTTCTTACCTGGGTACTAAACAACTTGGCTGACTGTACCAGTACATGAACCTGCTCCTGCCAATAAATCTTCGACTTTATTACGAACGGATAGAGCTAAAAATATACAAAAGTTTTACTACTAGTACACAGCTTAGAGATTATAGAATTGCTAGAATGGTATGGCATACGGTATTTGCACATAGCAAGCATCTGATACTTCACCCAAATCAGGCATCAGAATACATCAAACGTGAAATACTTCAGTAGCAGAATTGCTTCTAGTTATCGCAGTCATAATCGTCCTTTTCTGTCCTTAATGGACTTAGTTTTCATCGATACCGTAAGTTTCGATTACCTACAGATGTGTACTGTGTTAGCACCTAAGTTACAGAGGCTTCAGAAGAACTGAAGAACACGATTAATATGTAAATTCTAAATCGATTTACTATCGTAGTAAAACCACATCTGCGGTGTTTTGCCCATTCCTAACTCAGCCCTACTGTGAAATTACTTTTGAAACTAATCACTTTGTCCTTATGTTTTCGTCATAATACACTCAACATGTAGATACACCAGCATATCAAAGTACCCAAAACTGTCAAAATACTTTAATGAATTTTCAACTCTATTGCCTAGTATTAAAGTTCAAAATCTTTTATAGTCCAGAGTAGCTTAATGTGCTAGTATTCATGCACAGGGTGTTCAAAATTGATGATATTTGTCCTGTCTGTGTTTGACAAAGGACTGAAATAGTAAGGGCAGTTTGGGTTCGAAAGTCCTGCAGTTATGCAATGTTTTTTATTGCTTTGATATAAGGTTCAAATTGGCGACGAACTGGTGTGGTAACTCTATCGAATTAGCTACGATGCGCTGTTATGCAAGCCAGTTAATTGGATGAGAGGCACTGGTGATGGCGAAAAGAACTGACGTTGTTCGTTGTTTAAATAAACAGACGAGCACTTTGTAATTTTTCTATTTTCTATAACTATAGTAAACTAACAGCCAGCCAAGCAACTAGATGAAATAGTCGTCAAACATAATACTGAAATACCTAAAAAATCAAACGGTCAAAAATTATTTTTTACAAATAAAAAAAAATCACGTGGGAAGCTGATAAATAAATAAAAACGTTCATTGAAACTAAATAATTACTATTCATAAAGCTGGTAAATCCAAAAACAAAAAAATATGTTTAACAGTTTTTGAAGATGTGCGAAATCGAATGATTGCCATTCATGTATTGATTAGTATCAATTCGCGAAGAGTTGTATGAAGGTGAAGACCATTTCAATTAACATTGCATTCATTCACAGAATATTTTGGTTGACCTTGCAGTGACCTAGTGTGACGTCATAGCTAGTTAGTGTGACGTAGATTCTAAATCAGTGGAACTTGCTATGTATTTTTATTTTAGGATCTGTCTCATAACTTTCTTACTTTATTTTGTAGGAATATGATGTAAATGTTACATGTATTATATGTTTTTGGGAAACGAAATTTTCATCAAGCGAATTACTAGAGGCTGACGTCATTTCCCTAAAACACCTATAGAAATTTAAAATAGAGAAATTACTCCCAAAGAATGTAGATGCGAAATATTTAGCGGGTCGCTATCTATCAACAAAATAAAACCTTGGAATTCAATAAAAAAACATGTTTTTTTCTGAGAATTAAGCCACCAACCTTCCCACATAGACGCTACGTGTCTGGAAACGCTAAAGAGACTCGATGTGTTATTAAAATGTTCTGATACGTTTCACGGTTCCACGCTAGCAACACGTAGGATTCTTACATTTCTTACAATTCCCAAGATTTTATGTTCATGGTAATTTTATTATGTTTTTGTCGGTTCCCTTTTATCCAACGTTTCATAAAAGAAAAGTACGCACTTACACACATGGCATTATGTTCGGCTTTACTTACAAGATGTTAAATACTATTTATGGTCGTTTCCAGTGTCGGTTCCATCATGTGTTTTTTTGTAAACAGGTATCAATTCGTCATTAACTTGCTAAAATAAGGTTTTTCCGTTAATATTTTTCCTGTTTTCGTCAAATATCGAAGTAACCAACGCTCTTATAGTCATACCTTAAAATAAAAGGCTTAGGTAACTCGTTTCAAATCGAAACTTTTGTCGAAAGCCAAACCCATATTTTTTTTCAATTTTAGATACACCTAAATGTGTTAAAAATCATAACAAATATTGCACGGAAGACTCACGTATGTAATTTATTTTTATATCCGTCCTGTCCAAAACACATGGTGTGAAAAACATATGGCAGAATGGCTGACACACACATTCGCGCGAAAAAAAACGGCAATAAGTGCAAATGTGTCGATGCGCGCTCGTTGCCCGAGGTCAGTTACCGCTCGAGTAGGTGTAGACATGCCTTTATACGATAATTGTTGTAATTACAACGCTATAATATCATTGTTTAGCCTCAGGCTTTACTCTTGTAAAAATAATAATGGTTCCAACTTCCACAACAAAAACTGCCAATTATCTCTGTTTTTTGGCTGCAAACGTGTAGTAAATTACAATTTATGTTTTTACTGGTTGTAATTGTAGTTTAAACTGATCATCAATGTAATGTGTCATGTCGTGGATGACTACACTGTTATTAAAATATTTTTACCTCAATAGTTGGTTTATACAACATTATTATAATAAAATCATAAAATGCATCACCATTTATATGAAAAATCCAACATAGGCAGGTAATATAAATAACACAGATGGAACTAGGTAAGGTCTTTTTCATCTTTCTTATTTCCTTATAAATAAATGCGTTTAATATTTGTATATTCACATACATACCTACTTACATACTACCTAAAATAGTGGAAATAATCTTATTAAAATTCACGCTACGCCACGTGTACCTACCGCGGCTACCGCAGAAGCTCCAAATTCCGTCGACCACAAATTGGACCACGCTATCGCATGCACAACCAAAATTAAGCCACTAGATAACCGCATTCTAACTTGTAGAATATTCCAAAAGATTTTTCACTGAAGTAGAAAGTCTCAATAAAATGTCCAAGTTTATCTACATTGTAGAAGTTGTAGATATGTTGATATTTATCGGCGAGCAAACGGCGTGGTTCGTGTTTAGTTCACGAATTATTGTCGTTGCGTCCCGCCCGATAGTGGCTCCTCCTGGCGGACGGTTATTTATGAAGCTTGCTTGTTAGTTCGGCTAGTCCCTGTGACATGTTACGGTTAGGCACCTACTCGAGCTACTATCTAGCAAGGTCTAGGGTTTCAGTGCAAGGATTTGTGAGGATAACTAAAAAAATGGATTGTTTTTTTTGTAAGAAACAGAGTCACAGAAAAATAGACCTAGTATGGTTTAACTACTAAAACACCAATTAGCAGATTATCAATATGAAAAAATCTATTTTATTCAGCATATAAATGAGTACTTAATGTGAATTTACGTGAGTCATAAGTTTAACCGTGAAAAGCGACTATTTTATTCAGAAAAATAGAAAATAAAAGACCACATCGTTTGTTACGCTCACCACCCCTATTCTTAGTGCGGGAGACACGCGATAGTTAGTGTGTGCTGTTCCGCAATGCTTTACTACCGGACGGGTAGAATACGGTGGTAATTTACAACTAAACAGATCCTCCAAGTTTACTATACTCTTTAAAAAAACTGTAATTAATCTAACAATCGAAGTCTTCATCAAAAAAAAAAAATCTAATCTCATAATTTTGAGCCATCATTTCCCTGTATAACAGCGCCATCTAGTTGTTAGGATGCGAATACACTGTGTCTGATAAATGTTTACTAGTGTGTGTTCATGAGTATGATTCATTCCAGTGTGTAGTGTGTGTAAACGACGCTCCGTCAATAGGTATCAGCATTTACGGCGCTTCAACTGTCAGCCTCCATAGCTCAGGGGTTAGAGCACTGGTCTTGTAAACCAGGGGTCGAGAGTTCAAATCTCTCTGGGGGCAATGTGAAAACATTACTTTTTGTAACTTTTTAGACATTTATTTTCTTGTTTTTTCTGTGTATTTCATTTATTTTTGTTATTTTGCCCATTTTTGTTTTGGTTACTTGTTGTTTTAATTTTTTTTTATTTATTTGTTTAGATTGTAATTGCATATCAGTTGTTTGTGGTAAATACAATAAACATGTTATGGGAAAGTTTTTTTTCAGTAGGTACTCATGGCATAGTTTAGCGATATATTTTCTTCTTTAGATAAAATATTATCAGTATACCTAAGTTAGTCACTCTTATAAAACATCCTCCATTTTATCTTTATGTAAAATATAAACAACCATCTGAAACTCCTAATTGTAAAATTCCAGCGGACTGGGCAACAGAATGTGTGTCGCGCGCAGAGATCCTGCGATTGATCTACCAGGGCCGGTTCCTGCACAGCTCGGTGACGCTGGGCGCGCTCGGCCTGCCGCTCGGACGCACCACGGTCATGCACCTAGTGCCGCGCGAGCACTTGCCCGAGCCTAACTCACATGGTAATTATACATTTCTGTTAATCATGCTTATTTATTAGCCTCTAAAAGTCGACAAAACGAGGCTTGGTATTTCTCCTCTACTCCTCAAATGATGTTTTATGGTTTATTTGATTTCGCTTTTATTTTTAAACTAGATAAAATTCAATTGATGGGTGGATTTAATTTGTTTTGAATTCTTACTGCAATTGAATTTAATAGGTGTTCGATTTTTTTTATATCTTTAAACTGGGGTATTTTTAAAAGAAGACTTATTTGAGTGACTATATGTATGACACGTGGTCTCCACTAAAATAAAATATTAAATTTAATATAATTTAAGTTTTTGAAAACATAAATGTCCTAATTATTATATTTTAGCTGTATCAATTTGTACTTTAGATTTGAAAAGTAATATAGTGCAGTAAATAGACTATGCAGACTATTTTTCCAAAAATAGTGCTGGCAATTAAATATAAGACTTGTTTTCCAGAAGTCCGGTGGACCTAATGATCCTTTATCCTGTTTCCTACCTCCTTCCCTTTTGTAAGTCCACTCTTCTACCAATACCTTGTACTACTTACTGTACTACCCTGAGTTACCCTTGGTTCTACTTTCTAGTTCTAGACTTAGGTAATATGTTCTAATAAGGTGTGTATATATCAACTGTGTATTTAAGCATAATTGATATGTAGGCTGTCTTTAGAATAGGAGTGTATTGTAAAATAGTTTGACAAGTAGGCAAAACTTAGAGTATATTGTGTAAAATTTTAATGAAAATAGAATTTATTGTATCTGCATAAAATTGTTACTCAACTAAAACATATCCTTTTCTCTGTTTCCAGATCAACGGCAAAAAAGTAAAGGTGGTTCTAGCAGTTGTTGTTCAGCGTCCTGCTGCATATTGTAATAGCTTCCTGCGTGAGGGAGACGCACTTACACGAGCGGCAGTGGGCGTGAGTGAGACAGCCGACATCGTTGCCGGGACGGACTCCAATGTGTTCAGTGTAGAAGCCAGGATACCATGTCGCCCAGAACAGTACTTGACACGTTTCTAAACGAAGTAACATCACATTGAGACGCATGCGTAGCTCACTGATATCTTTTATTGTCAATTGTCGTAGTAATAATTTAATAAACAATCGTGCACAACTTACGAGACCATAAAGGATCAAAACGCACATCAATCGAGACTTCGTTTGCAAACGTCGCAAGTATCAATATCGCCAGGTCGACCGCGGTCAGCATATAGAACGATACTGTAATACTGTATATCTCACCGCGTAACTTATAGCTCGTTTTATAGATATCATGCTGCCCAAATACGTTAACGTTAGTAGATATATGGGATAAGGTTCGTCGGTATAAGTAAGCCTATGATTTTAATAGTTCCTGGACGTAATAGGTATTTGGCTTCACATCAATATTTTACTTTATCCCGGCTAGCAACATTAATTTACAAATGTTAGTATTATTATTTAGGCCATCATATATATAAATTTATATTACATTATGGAGATATTTATCTAAAAATGACAAATTATTTAGTGAAACAAACGAAGTGTAAATTACCCTGTTTTGCATTGTAAATAGTATAATTGAATTAGGAGACTTTGAATAATTTTTGTGATAAGTTCTTGCAATATTTGAATTTTTAAACTGTTTTGTTCTAAATTATGCTATTTACTGCGCTAGCTGTAGCTTGTGAGTGGGAGTAGCGCGGCCGAGGGGGCGCCACTCTCGCGCCATGCATATGTTTACTCTGAGAAACAATATGTATGTATAGTACACGACACGGCGACTGGTTCAACAGTGGTAAATTATAGTAATAAAGCACTAGACTATATTCGGGAATTCAATGAATACGTCTCGCTTACAGTTTGTACATGCTGCCCGCAGTACGGTCTAGTCGCACGTATTGTTGCTGGCTGGTGGTGGCGGCGGCGGCTCGTATGTTTTGTTATCGTCTACTTATTATAGTATACAGGTCCTCATGTCTTAGCGTTACCACAGTCTGATTACTTTTGTAAATATCAATTAGAGCTTTTTTATTATTTTTATTTACATCACAAATCTATTCCTTTATTATTCTTTATTTGGCTTCTTACATTATAGTTATAAAACCGTCGTATATTAAATTGTCTTAAGGATTGAGTTGTCATTATATTGTTCGGCTTAGCCCTAATTTTTGTTATAAGCTTAAAATAACGAATTATTTAAAAGTTATGTTCATTCGACTCAGCCGGTTAAATGCGAAGTGTTTTGTGATAGTACAAATAAAATTATTTACACGTTCAGACATACATTTGAAGGAAATTATGAACTCAGTGATAGCATACGTTGAACAGTATTAGAGGAAGTAGAACACAGGCAACACTATGTCGGTGTGGTCCCGTGGTACGCATGTTGCTACATTGATTCCGACGTTCCCTACGTCAGTAGCTGTAAGTGGGTGTAAGTGGGTGTACGACACGACTGCCGACTGACTGACACGGTTCTTGCCAATCGTAACGTGTCCCTCTCTCAGGAATGAATGCAGCAATATGAGTTGTTATGATCCAATGCCAGTATGAATGAATTATATTTTGGTTGCTCTGTTTAGTTACTGTATGTATGTATTTTGTTAAGTTGTATAAAATACCTAGTTTATAAATAAAATAAATACAATTTTAATTTGCATGTTTCATTTTATTTCGCTTCTTACTTCACCTTTGTACATAGATGGCGGTTGATGCGTTTTTGGAAGCTTCCAGTTCTTTTTTTGTGTATTGCACTGCTGTCCTTTTGACATCTTAATGTTTCTATTTATATTTGAGTTGCATTAGGCGCTAAGTGACACAAACACTTCATGATATAAATTAATATAAATAAATAACTGCTTTTGTAAACATCTCAAGAATGTATAGTCGGATAACGTAGTAAGGTCGATTCGTTCGCGTTAAGGTGATATCTTAGGCCAGATAGTCGATGTCTTCACTGTATTTTTAATATTTCCATAGAATAGTTCATAAAATAATCTGAAGTAAAAATAATAAGTGTTATCATGATCCGACTTTGATGTCTCTCGTTATTATGATTTATGTGAGATTAAATGCGCACAAATTTTATACTTAAACGCAGTATGTCTTCAGTCTTTTATATTTGTGTAGCTAATATGTTGGCAAGGACATAATATTTAAGCTGATTATGTACTGATATAAAACTCAATACTATCTATTCAACCTTCTTAATTAGGAATTAATTTAAATACATATTAATTTAATAACGACTGAGTGATTGTAAGACGTTTATTATAGGTTTTTCTTTAGTTATCGCCATAGAGATTATTTAAATACTTCTATTCAGTTAAATATTCCAGCAAGTTCGCCGTCTAGCAGAATGATACATACAAATTGTTGGATAATTACATCATCACTTTTCTAAAACACAATTAATATTTGTAGATGATTAATTTAATATCTAGCGCATTATAATAAAGAACATATATACATTTTATTTCTTTTTTGTTCCAAAGAGACATCAAGTCGGGTCAAGGCGTGTAAATATTTGACAACTTTTTAATTTAGACAAATCTAGTGTATATTTAATTTAGCTTGAAGTGGATAATTATCTTTACAAGGCGACAGGTGGGTGCTGGCTACGATTTCTTTATATATAAATGAAGAAAGTAATTAAATTAATATCGTAGGACACGGGAGAGGCCTAACTATAAAAGAAACTGGAAATATGCAATATAAATTATATGGACGATGAAATAATGATCTAATTTATTCTAGCTAAATGATTTACTACTAAAATTGCAGTTTTGTAGTGATATATCAAGTTTCTTTTTATTTCTAACAATCCTTGCCAGCACCCAGTGTTGATGTCTGAAATAAATAAATAATAAAATATTAGATGTCACTGTATAACAGGTGTTTAACGTACGTACATAATCTATATACTTGTTAATATTAATTCATAATTATAACAATGTTGATTGTCGTTTTCTTTCCAAGTGTTCTGTAGTTGAGTTCACCGAGATGTTTCAGTGGTTTGTACAAAGGGTTAGTGAAAGGATGACCGGCTAAGACATATGGAAAATGTACCTACCGACCAATAACGGCAAGACGTACGTCGTTAGAAAGCTCTTTTCATGACTATCATATTATGTTATTATGGGGGTTAGTTTCAATACACGAACTTTAAACCTTCAAGAAAAGAGCGTATTCCTTTTTAAAAAGCCGGCAACGCACTGTGACTCCTCTGGTGTTGCGGGTGTCCATGGGCGGCGCTGATCGCTTACCATCAGGTGATCCGATGGCTCGTTTGCCTCCTATTCCATAAAAAAAAATTCGTTGTGGCGAAAATTTTAATACTCTATGTTTTGGGATATTGCAAGAACAAGGCTCATTGCAAGCTATCCATTCTTTGTTACCAGTGTATTGTACAGGGAAAACTAAGACGTGATTACTTTACACATTATATTTAGACAAATACATCTATAAATACAATATACAAGTTTGGCAATGATAACTGTGTAACAAAGTTAATATCAACCAACCACATGTGTTATACGAAGACACATATTATTATATTGGTTATGAACTTTATTTTTATTATTTTCTCTCAACAGAAAGGTATAATGAGCAAGCACTATGCACATCAGCTAGTACTTCAGATGAACGTAATAATTTATGTTATTTTTTTTATTCGTCAAAATATTATAACTCGGTGAACTCACTATTACCTATTTCTATTTACACAAGTTTTCATTGTTCGCAATGAGAGTAGTAGAAAATGTTCGCTTCAAATTATACGCCATTTTGTTCAAATTACGTGTGACAGTAACTTTGTTAGTACTCGGACGTTTTGTAATAAATCGAATCGAAGGAATAGGTTGTACACTTTGAAAAACTATTGAGTTTCAATGGGGTCAAATAAAATTTTAAGAACATATTTTTGACTATTTTTTATTCATTTCCCTTACAACTAATTCATTATTATAATTATGTATGTACAATTTTTTAAATATTTCAAGTCATACCTACAAGCTCACTGGAAGACTTCTGAGAATTGGGTTGGAAAAAGTCACAATTGAAAAAATAACTTTATGAAAAAGGATACTGTAACTTATTTCATGTGAATATTTCCGCGGCCTTCGTGAAAAAGGATCTAAATCCAAAAATGCATCTTTATAGGAGACAGAAAACGCTCTCTGCCCATTTGTTCGTGATTGACCCTACTACTTATTAAAAATACATATTTATAATGGATATACAGCTTGAATAATTAAGCTTTTCTTCTGATCATTTTTGTATAATCAACTCATTTTGGACTAAATTGGACTTATATCACTTTTCACTAGGGCCACAGATTTTAAATTCCTAGAATACCAAGCAAATCACATTAACCAAAGAAAAATACAAAAATCATAAAACAGAAATAAACCACTTTTAATAAGTTTAGTCTTCCTTCTTCAAAACAAAAAGCAATCGTCAAGACATTAAGCAGCCATTATAATTTATGAATTGATTGATATATTTAGCAGTCTTTGGCTGAGATAACTATAAAATTATTCAACGTATGGATACATAAAATACCATTTGAATATAAAGAGATTTCTATCTAACTCTAATTCCGCTGTGCTCAGCTGTTTTAACCTCTTTTCAACACCCTGTAGTACGGCCTGCTCAGGGGGTGTTAAAGTTTCTTCCACCTGAAATATTTTTGACACACATTAATATATTTCTTATACACAGTTTTTTGGGATTGTACAACTAGTTCAAACTACACAAGGTACACTAGGAGGCGGGCTCTTAATAATGTAACTGATCTTTCTTATATTAAGAGGTAATCAATTGGGACCTGATTTGCTGACTGCCTGCCGCCGAGAGTGCCGAGTGGTCGCGTCGCAAGTCCGACTGCCTGGCAAGGTTCGATTCCCGGGACAGGCAAAGTAATACTAGTCTTTTTTTTTCAAAAATTCTCTGTAGTATCTCAGAGTCTGGAATTGTGCCCGGTATATGGCAATAGGGCTACCCCCTATTCATGCATCATACATGGGATTCATAACATAAATAGTGAAGAGTGGGTGTAACAAAGCACTGGAATTGAATACTGTAATGCGCACCTCTGCCTACCCCTTCGGGGACAAAAAGCGTGATGTATGTATGTTATGTTTCATCAATTGTAGTGGGATTATTATGATCAGAGACGGCGTAGTACGGAGTACAAATAGTATAAGTATGATTTGTGAGTACAATATGAGTAGCCACTGACATCATCAATATTCCGCTGCGGCTCCCCGCGCAGTCGCATGCCGTGCACTATGGTGCGCACGCGGCGCTGCTTGTCCACCAGCCGCGCATGCGCACTGCGCTCGTGGGCGGCGCGACGAAGTACGTTGTGCAGGGAACGGTAACACATCTCCAAGCCTGTATACGCCACCTAAACATGCCATAAATAATTAATAAAGCATTTTTTTCCGGCTAAAAAGGCACTTGAAAGTCAAAAAGGCCATTTGAAACTCGAAACTATATTTGAAATGTTTGCCTAACCAATAGTAAACATTACTGAAACCACAAATTACAGAAAATAGTAAAATCTAATTAAGTGATCGAGAGAATAGTTATTATAATAAAGTGGAACATTGTATCAATATTGTAACGATATTACAATATCGACTTTGATAAATGGAAATATGGACTTTCTACAAAAACTATGGGACTTACAGTATGTAATTTGACATGGTATAAATATATCGCTTTCGCCAGACCGCCTGCTGAAGCTGGTTTTCTCATTGGCTGAAAAACAAAAATATGGATTAGGTACTTAAGTCAATTTTATACTGTGATCTCTTATTTATTACTAAACCGAATCTAACAACGAGTTCTAAAGAAACATCAGAAAATGGTGTTACTAATATGAATTTGTTTTTATTTTAATAGTAGGAAAGTCTCATCATCATCATCATCATCAACAGCCTATAAATGTCCACTGCTGAGCAAAAGCGTCTTCTCACACGGAGAAGGTTTTCTTATAATTAGAAATTATAAGTTTCCTCACGATAGTTTCCTTGGGCTTGGGCTTCCGGTAACCTCACTCACACGAAGAAATACAACGCAAGCGTTGCTTCACGTCGGTTTTCTGTGAGGCCGTGGTATCACTTCGGCCCATTCGTACTGAATCATGGTTCTCCCACACTGATCCCATGCCCGTCGCCGTCTTTAAAAGGTTTCCCCAGTGTTCAAAATAATAAAAAAGTCGTGCAGTCACCTGTACACTAATGAAGTGTTCCTCCATCAGTTTGTATGTGAGCTGCTTGCATTCCTTGTTCACCAACATAGCATTCTTCTGTATGTCATCCTCTTCTATGTACTTCTTAGTGTATATTAACCTGTAAAACATTCATTTATTAGACAATGTTCGAAGCAAGCAGTAATTTTGCTTCCTTTTTCTTAGGTGATTCCCTCACTGTTGAGGATCGTGACTCCCTCTGATTTTGCTCACTAGATGTCGCTACTCATCTCGTTCCGTAGCTTGGTGCATTGCAACATTCATGGGTTTCTCCAGCTCCTTGGATTATGGTCAGACCACCGAATGGGACTCCGGCTCTTAGTCTCTTTCCTTCTACTTTATCAGGTACTATGAGGCGTTCCAGATTACTAGCATAGTCTAGTCAGCAATATGGCCAAAGTATCGCACGATCGCAATTTTACTTATGTACCGAAAAGTAGCAAAAATTATAAATTTCATGACAATTATCGACCCCCTTTTCTTGAACGCGGATATCGTAGGAAGCGAGGAAAGAATTACATAATTATAGATTACATATATAAAGGATACAGTGCCGTTTTCTGATAATCCTGACCCTATAAAACTCTTGAACCCGCCTGCCTCTTGAAAAGGACATCCATAGTCCAACAATGGCCTCTCAAGCTGCTGACTGTCTAGGTGGTATATCTAGTTACCTAAATAACCGCGCGGCCTTGGAGCCGAGTCTGACGTATATCTAGTTACCTAAATATCCGCGCGGCCTTGGAGCCGAGTCTGACGTATATCTAGTTACCTAAATATCCGCGCGGCCTTGGAGCCGAGTCTGACGTATATCTAGTACCTAAATATCCGCGCGGCCTTGGAGCCGAGTCTGACGTATATCTAGTTACCTAAATATCCGCGCGGCCTTGGAGCCGAGTCTGACGTATATCTAGTTACCTAAATATCCGCGCGGCCTTGGAGCCGAGTCTGACGTATATCTAGTTACCTAAATATCCGCGCGGCCTTGGAGCCGAGTCTGACGTATATCTAGTTACCTAAATATCCGCGCGGCCTTGGAGCCGAGTCTGACGTATATACAGTTACCTAAATATCCGCGCGGCCTTGGAGCCGAGTCTGACGTATATCTAGTTACCTAAATATCCGCGCGGCCTTGGAGCCGAGTCTGACGTATATACAGTTACCTAAATATCCGCGCGGCCTTGGAGCCGAGTCTGACGTATATACAGTTACCTAAATATCCGCGCGGCCTTGGAGCCGAGTCTGACGTATATACAGTTACCTAAATATCCGCGCGGCCTTGGAGCCGAGTCTGACGTATATACAGTTACCTAAATATCCGCGCGGCCTTGGAGCCGAGTCTGACGTATATACAGTTACCTAAATATCCGCGCGGCCTTGGAGCCGAGTCTGACGTATATACAGTTACCTAAATATCCGCGCGGCCTTGGAGCCGAGTCTGACGTATATACAGTTACCTAAATATCCGCGCGGCCTTGGAGCCGAGTCTGACGTATATACAGTTACCTAAATATCCGCGCGGCCTTGGAGCCGAGTCTGACGTATATACAGTTACCTAAATATCCGCGCGGCCTTGGAGCCGAGTCTGACGTATATACAGTTACCTAAATATCCGCGCGGCCTTGGAGCCGAGTCTCTCGGTGACGCAGTGCTCGAGCGCGGCCAGCACGAGCTGCAGCGCGGCGTGTCGCGCGCGCACCGCGAACTGGCCGCTGCCCGCGTCGCCCACGCGGCGGACGAACCCGGCGCCATTCTCCTCTGTACACAGAAGTTAATATAATAATGCATTAAAAATATACATAATTATTATACTGACTGCCTATTTGCCCGAGTGGTCGCAAGTGCGACTGTCGGGTAAAGGATTACGGGTGCGTTTCCCGGGTCGGACAAAGTACCTATTACTGGGTTTTTAAAAATTCTCAGCAGTAGTACGAAGTACTGGAATTGGGCCCGGTATATGGCAACAGGCTCACCCCCTTTTACATGGGGCTCGTAACATAAATTGTGAAAAGTGGGTATTACGTCTGTGTGCACCTATGCCTAGCCCTTCGGGGATTAAAAACGTGATGTTATATTAATGGCTATCATAAGAATGTGTGAAAAACATCGTAAACTTGCATTTACTATATTTTTTTTTTTTATTTTATATTAATTTTAATTGTACAAAAGGGTAATGTTAATATGTTATTAAACCGTGATTTATTAAATAAACAAAGGTAAAAACGCTGTTGCATCCGCTACTCTATGGAGTAATTTCATGATTATTGTTATCCTAGTAATTTCATGCATTGCATTTTGTTTTGTAATCTTGTGCTTGTAACTGACGAAAAGAAAAATTAAAACCTGAAGACTGAAGATTCTGCAGTATCGGTAAATTACACCTTATATCCCTGTTACACAGTGTAAATTAAAAACAAAAAAATGAAAGCATGTGTAATCATGCAATTTGTACCTAATACTTTAAGATACTGGTCCACGAACTGGTGCAGCAGTGGTTTGTCAGTGGCGGCGCTCCTGCACCTCTCGCGGAGCTCCACGGCGCATAGAGGACTCGACTCCGGCGCCCACGGAGCTGACGTTAGGTACATCTTCTCTAGTAAAAATCTCATCAATTCTCCGGCTGCAAAGTGTATGAACATCATGTATTACTAGTTGTCTTAATTAACTCGTCGAGTACCGTCTTTGCAGACACAATTATAGAACAATAGGTTGCGGTCACCGGTGACCGCTTGGTGTTTGACAGTTTAAGAATGATTAGATCTAATTATTGTGTATTCTTTTATATTGCTGAGAGGCTTCAGTTTAGGCTATAAAACATCACGCCATGATCAATAGGCACCGAGCAGTGCGGATGAAACTGCTGTACTAGGTAGTAAAATAATAAAACTATGTGGCCTAAAAGAAGGTCCAACTTTTTACCATTTTCATCGATTCTCCTTGTGATAGCTTTGATCATGATCTCGTCCCTGAAGTCAAGGTGGAATCTGTCATAGTTCACTCTCCAATAAATATCTGGAAACAAGGTGTACTTACTTTAGCAATACAGCAAAAAAAACTTATTTTAGCCATGACAGCAAAGCAGTGTGTGGATAACTAATTCAGTAATTATTCTGATATTCCTACAGAATAGAGTCTACCATATTTTGCTCCCCAGATGGTGCTAGTGTGGTCTCTCGTTTTTCCTCCAATAAGGAATTAGTTAGTGTTACACCATTGGACGTTCAATATTTGACAGCTGCTGTGATTGGTCAAATAAACTCCTTCATACATTGGGCCATCAAACGCAACTCCAAAGAACCCATTATTAGACTTGCCTGAGAGAAATCTCTATCTGAAAGTAGGTCTAGGTAGTAGGTAGTCTAGGTTAGGAGGATTTGAGCACTTTTTAGAACACTTATATTGTTGAAGAACAATAACAATTATGTCTTGTTGCGCACGGGCCACTGTTAAAGGTCTGTCGGGCCACATACAGCTGATCTAGCAATAAGTGAAAAATAGGTAAAAAATATTGAAACTCACTATCTTTAATATCATTAATGTGCCCATTATTCATGGCTTGTAACAAAGCTCTGCTGTCCAGATCTGGTACGATGGTGGCGACAGGTATCAGAGTGGGGATCTCACTACCTTCCTTCAGCTCAGCTACTGGCGCTTGCTGAATGTAGCCCGCAGTCACCAAACTTATGAACATATCCTTTAGACCTAATATTGTTATGTTTTTTTCCTGAAAATCAAACATTATAGTTATAGTAGTCAAATAAAAAATTGTTTTTAGAAATTTTTATTGATGATTGAAACAGTTGATCATTAATCGCAAATAGTCTATTGAGGGGGATAAGCTTCGATCAACAATAACAACTAGATATCGGGTCGGCGCAAGAAAATCGTCTCGACAAATAAGAGCTCACTTGAGAAGTGAGCTCTTATTTTGTTTAGTATGCTCCAAACATGGCCAACGTACTCACGTCTCACGAGTAATTGCAAGTTGCAAAAATAACAACCGAAAAAGCAGTATAACGGCCGGAGTGTCTTACTTTTGATAAGTACATAAAGTATAAGTTATATTTTAAGCTTTTAAACTAGTAAATAATATCAAATTAGACAAAATTATCAATTATAAACCAACGCCACCAATGTTTGTGCGTGTGTTGGCGATTCCTTGGCCAAGTCTCGCCAACATTTGTATAAACAGAACAGTGGATGCATGGAGTCGATTTGTATTGAAAAAATAAGAAATTGTATCGTTTCTTGCTCGTTCTTCTCCATAGGAATCTACACCTTGGAATGAGCAAATAGCTTCACTTTTAAATTTATATTGTTGTTGTTCAAAAGTGCCTTCCTGGTATAACTGAAATAAATAATTTTGACTTAGACTTAGACTTTTAACGATAAAGTAAATAAACATATCATACACAAAAACGTACCGCTAATAAAAATTAGTGATGTATACTAAGATCCCGAAATGTTAATTTTCATATTATAAAATTATTTTAGTGTCCAACGCGACTCCATACATACCTCCTGTAGCGAAATTCGAAATTTGAAGAAGCAAAACGAAACAAAACAAAACGATATAGATCGCAAGACAATAATGGAAAAATTATCTTTATTTGTTCGACCTTAAGGTTGAATTCAAACTAGATATTGTATAACTTATGTCTTTTAATTTCTACATGACAGGAGTAAGAAAATACTTTTCTTGTCTTATATGACGAATGGTCGTAAGTATTAGATAATATTTTGACGATTTATGACTTTATTATTAGGTGCCATGGTTATTATTAGGTTGAACTAAAAACTATTTTAAAACATTTTTCTCTGTTTGTTATTTTTTACTATTATTATTCACACGGACAGAACTGGAGCTTGATTTTGTACGTAACCCTTTATCTAGTTGTTATTGTTGATCGAAGGGGATAAGGGACTGAGAAGCACAAAGTTCGTAGGGCATACCTACAATAATCTTTTTTTAACTTTAATGTTTACAGTGATAGTATAAAATTTGGAAATATACCATGGTGTTCAGCAAAAACCTGTCAACTAGCTACTTCTACGCGGTTTAACTCGCACTGCTTGGTCGTAGCATAATGTTTTATAGCCTTCCTCAATAAATGGTCCAGCCAACACAAGAAGAATTTTTCACACCGGCCCTGTAGTTCCCCAGATAAGCATGTTCAAACAAACAAACACTCTCTTTGGCTTTATATAATAGTATAAGAAATGATTTAGTAACTTAGAAATCCTAATTGCCACCAATCAGGTGATCTGTGTGCTCGTTTAAAGGCCTATTTCATCAAAAAGGACTATAAAGCATTTCAAAACTAACCTCAATATCTCTATACTTTACCTTATCATCCTTGAACTTTGTAGCTATATTGAAGAGTAGAGTAGTGGCTGTGCAGGTGGCTTGCTGCAGCAGCTCCTCAACCAGCATCTCCGCCTCACTCCCATACTTGCTCTTCATTTGTAACAGGTATCTGAATTATTAACACATTGTGGAATAAGTATAATTAATTATAAATTGTCGTGATGGCCCGGAGATTAAGAGGGCGCGGATTCGAATACTACCAATGGAAAGTACTAATGTGCCTTTTTCCGAGTTATATGTACTTTCTAAGATTATTTAGACACCACTGACAAACGGTGAAGGAAAACATCGTGAGGAAACCTGGACTTATAAATTCTAATTATAAGTTTAAATCGCGTGATTAATGCTCAGACCTCCGTGTGGGAAGAAGCTTCGCTCAGCAGTGTGAACTTATAGGCTGTTGATGATGAATTATAAATTGAATTCTATTCATCTACTTTTAAGGACCTTATAGCAAATAGAAATTTAACAGGCTTTTATATGGTTTTGTAAAGGTATTATGCTGTTTTGTTTTTTTAATAATACCACAGAGTTTGGTAGATAACTGGTGACACCGGATTATTATATTACATGTTTAATATGCTGCATGCACACAATGATAGGTGGACTTAATGCTGCAGGCATTTTCTCCTATTTTGACCTTGAGTAGTATTGCACACCTCTGCGTGACCCTTCCGGGAATATCAATGGTGTCAAATTGTTTGTACTAGACATCCATATTCTTACAATAGTATCTTATGACTTACCTGGGGTATCGAATCATTAAGAGAACATTTTCAGGTAGCAGCTTGTAGTCTACAACCACATCATTGTATGGTTCAAATGTTGCCAAGTCAAACTTGAGTAGTGTGCGAAGACTGTCTACCACCTGAAACCATGATTTAATAGAGCATTTGTAGATAATGTTACGGAATCGAACATATTCTTCATCAGTCTAAAACTATCCCACGGGTGGGTAAAGGCTTCTTCTCGCATGGAGAGGTATGCGGAATGTTTACTGGTCATTCCTTCTCCATGTAAATAAGTAAATAACAAAATTGGTTAAAAAAAGTTACTATCGTAAATGTTAATTAGATCATAAATACATTACTTTACTAAGTGCTAAAGTTTAAAGCGTCATTGCATTGATAAATTCATTTATACACTCAATTTTTATAACATAACCTAAATACCGACATACAGTTTTTTAATAAGTACCTGGTTTCGAGGAAGTCCTGTATGCCTCACAAGCATGCCGATGGGCCTACCGCCATAACTAAATAAGTCATCACCCACTTTCTGCACAATTTCACCAAAATGTCTTTCCAAAATTGATGAAACAACTCTTCCCATCTGACGCGACATTTTTCTATCAAAAATGAAGTAACAGTGTACAGTAAATTAATCGGTAGCTTCACAGTAAGGAAACAACTTAAGGGTATTAATTTAAAATCATGTTTTATAATATTTCAACTTCAAAATAGACCACAAGATTCGACGAAAATAGAGGTTATGTTGTGCTCTTTGTTTACAACCTTTACATTTCACAGATTATACCTTCAACGTAGACAGCTGTCTACGACTTTCAAAGACATATTGACAAATTGCAAGACCACAGACTTCACAGAGTCTATTTCATTTTCTTTATTATACGTTCCATTCTACTTATTTATTTATTTATTTATAAGAATAGAACGGTACAAAAACCAAATACACTACTCAATACATACAATTTGTAAGAATAATTAGATTATATGAAATTACGAAGTGAAGTCAAGAGACGTCATAAATACCAGAGCTATGTAACCTCTGGTAATTTACTACTTGTATGGTTTTTAAAATATATAACGATCATTAAATTATTGATTTGGATGTACTTATTTATTTAACTCGTCGAGTACCGGTTTTGCAGACACAATTATAGAACAATAGGTTGCGGTCACCGGTGACCGCTTGGTGTTTGACAGTTTAATTAAAAACTTTTCTGATTCAATAATGCGTGAAATGTAACAAAGTTGGTGAAAAACCTATTTCTATTCTTACGATGTTCAATGTTCATTTACGGATATCGCAACGTTTCGAATCCTTTCTGGAATTCTGCAGTATTTATTTTATTGCCTTTTGGTTTTCTTTATATTTTTACCTAGTATAATTTAGAAAAAATATTTGTTAATTTATTTTTTATTTCTTAACAATGGAAATTCAAATTTTGCGATAAATGGTAATAACAGCTGACGTTTGTTTTTAAGTTGTTTCATACTTTGTAAACACTAATTGAAAGTCAACTTTTTGTTGATTGTTCATCAATGGTTAAATGGTATTTTCAACAGTACAAAATAAGTTGTTAATGTTGCAGTAGTTTATTTAGTGATTTTATTTTACAACATGAATATAGAAAGTGCTGCAGTAAACATCCTCAAACGAGGAGTTGAATTAGATACTAAGAAACGGTACACAGAAGCGCTAGTATGTTATCAAGAAGGGCTACAAATATTAGTAGACAAAATGAGAGGCAAGTAAAAAAAATATTTAACTCTTTACATAATAATTCATTAATAATTAGTGTTTTTGAAGATACAAATTATATTAATTACAGGTGAGAATGATGATTCGACTAAAGCCTACCTTAGAAAAAAAGTTGAAGAATACATGAACAGAGCAGAGACAATAAAAAAGTTAGTTTTACAACAAAAAGAGGCTGGACAGTTTCATGAACAGGTGCACATAGAAAATAATTCTACAGGCCACAGTTACAAAACTCTATTTGGACGATTTTTAGATGATGATGTAAATTATGTTTCCATTGAAGATCCTTACATAAGGACTTTTCATCAGGTAAAAAAAGTTACACAGATTTAAAAAGAAAATTTCATGAATTTAGAATGGCGGTTTTTTTTAAATAATATTTTTTTTTCAGTGTCAGAATTTTCTAAAGCTTTGTGAACTGTTAGTCCGATCTTGCCACAACCTCCAATTGATTGAATTAATCACATCAAGAGACAACAAAACGGAAGGAGACCAAAGAGAGTGGCTTACTAATTTAAGTAATGACTTATTTAAGTACAAAATTAAGTTAATAGTGAAGTTTTCTGAGACTTTACATGACCGACAAATCACGTGAGTACATTCTGCCACTATCTACATTACTATTGATACATTCAGTTTTCAAGTCTGCAGTGTATAGACTTTTAGAGTTGTAATCAATAAGGTGTTATAAGTACTTCTAAGAGGCAACAACTATAGATAAACACTAGACCAGACTACTGGTTTTCAAAATATTGAATTAGAATAATTTTATCTTGAATTCTGTCATTATTACCATTATTTAACAGTTATGCATGGGTATAAATAAATTACACAATACATTATGTGTAGTGGGTTCAATTCTCGCATGAAACAACAATTTGTGGTTTTCACAAATTGATGTTCAGGGTCTCTGAACTTGTATGTTTGTAAACTCACCCATGCCCCAGGAGAAAATCGTAATGTGGGGCAATGTTTAATTCAAAATACAAAAATAACATTATCTTTTTTATGCATTTCAGATTGAGTTCGGGGTGGATCATAAAAATTGGCAGAGGTCTAGACTACTTCAAGGCCCCAGAGAACAAGTTCTGTTTAGGTGTCTACGATTTAGACCTTAGAATGTGCCACGAGACTACTGTAGATATCGTACATTCAAAAAATATTAAACAATCGTATGGATGATTGTTACTTATTTTAGTAATAAGTATACTGTATACTTTTATTTTTTTTATTAACAGATGACATTAAATCATAATTATTGTTATATATTTGAGTTTCATTTTGTGTTCTCCATAATATTATGAAGCATAAGTGTAAGTTCTTGCGATATTTCACAGCTTTCTTTTCAAAGAGTCACTTTGTATTTGTATCAGGGGCGTAGCTAGCGCCGTATCTGCCGTATCAATTATACGGGGCCCCCAGACTGCAGGGGCCCCCAACGTGCCTAAGCAAAAATTAATAAAAACATCCCAATTTTTATTCTATTTCAGTAATCGCAAAAGTCAAAATAAACGATTTTTTCCCGCGTAAAGCATGCGTTCAAAGGTTAGCAGAAACTTAAAAAATTTATTAAGATTTTCGGTTTTCACACAAATTATAAGTAGTAAAAAAAATCTGTTGTGAGAAATGTTTATCGTTCAAGGGCCCCTAAACAAATTTTTATACGGGACACGCTACGCCACTGATTTGTATCCTATTATTCAAGCAGCTCAAGTTGCAAGCAGCCAAGCAGGAAGCTGGTTAGATCATGCATGCTGTTTAATTAAATATATTACGTTACTGTACATAGGTAGGATACGCAATTGCATTTAATAGATAGGATAAAACTCAGCCTTAAGGAAGTAGTATGTACTTCACAACACAGTAATTGCAGGCTTATCACAGTTTACACGTGTCGTGTACAAAGTGAATCATTTGTTTATAATAACAGTATGCATAGATGCAGCAAATTAATCGGTAATTTTCTCACTATAAAGTCGAACTAGGGCAGGAAGTCCCGGTAATTATTACAGAAATCTGTTTTAAGTCATTAATTTCCTGTATTGATTTTCAACCTTATACCCAGTGGCGTTGGGCTCGCTCGCTCGCTCGCCATTGCAGCGGTAATTCCCATCTTTGAGGAGTGGCTTGAGAGACACTACGGCGTCCTCACCTACCGCCTGACGCAGGTCCTCACCGGACATTGAAGTTTCGCGAGGTACCTGTGTCTAATGGGCGGGAGGAAACGCCCGGGTGTCATCACTGCGAGGACCGCCCTGAGGACAGGGTGGAATACACAGTGGGGGAATGCTCTGCGTGGGCTGAGCACCGCCGTGCCCTTAGGGAAGTAATCGGGGACAAATCATCGAATGACTGCTCCCGCCTTAGTGTCAGACTCTTACTGACTAAAAACTACCCCGTTTCTTCTCCTGCACGTCAATCCAGAACCCCGGTAACCCGTCAGGTTCTCCGCGACTCCGAATCGGCATCGGCCCTGTTGGGCCCCATCTGTGGTGGTCTGATGGCTCTTTGAGGCGCGCGCGGTACGCGACGCGCCGTAAGCTCGGGTCTGTTTTTGGTCGGACGGGGAGCCACCCATTGTCGCCGTCCGCAGGCCCGCGCTTACGGTGGCCGGAGATCGTCCCGCGATCCCCGACGCCCGGTGTGTTATTCGCGATGGCTGGGTTGCGAGGAGGCAGCGCTTCGCTGCCTCACGCGTCCCCACCCTTTTACTGCTTAACCTTTGTTATACAGCTGAAATCTATAACGTTTATAGTTTAGCTATCATTGCACAGGTGAGATACTTGACCACATAATTTAACTGGTAGGTATTTTCTAGCTTGTCTTGAAACTGTAAGCTTCCAGCGTCTCCCGGCGCCTATAGACGCGCTTGTAGGTCGTCGACAGACATTCGTCGAAGCGTTACCGATTCAAGATAGATCCATATAGACTCACACGCAAGAAGGGCTTCGTATCAAGCTTCCTTGCGCATACTGCTAAGAGTGGAATTCTTTGCCAGAGTCTGTATTTCCTGAAGAGTGTTTTCAATCAAGGCCCGAGTGAATAGGTTGCTTATGGGACGACACAGCGAGAGAGATAGTGGTCACACGTCGGCCCATCAAAAATATATAAATAAACACACTTAATAAGCATGCGGGTGTCCATGGGCGACTCTGATCGCTTACCATCAAGTGATGCTCTGCTCGTTTGCCTCCTATTCCATAAAAAAAATGCGGCGGACAGCTTTCTCATATTGATGATAGGAAATATGTCACACGACATTCAATTTAAAGTTCATATTTAAATCACAAGTTAGGTAATTGGTAGGTTGGAGCCGTGCTTGTTAGGTGAGCGATGACTTTTATGTTACCCGTAATCTGTTTTGTTGGTAGAAACTAGTAACTGGCCGCTAGAATTCAATATATCTTCCTAATTAGCATGTCAAAGTAATATCATGAGTGACATTATTATTAAGGAAGTGATATTGCATTCTGTGAATATAAGCTGTGACTGTGATTTTATAAAATGGATCCCTCAGTTATGGCAAAGAAGTTTGTGGCCTACAACAAGTATCTGTTCTTCAATATGAGCAAAGTTCTACTGTGTTTCATATTGCTGTTCACATTTGCTGTTGTATATTTTCTACGATCACTTGTTATTAAACAGGTACTAACTAATGTTCACTTTTTTTATGAAATAAGAGGCAAACGACAGACGGATCATGTGGTAAGCGATCAGCTCCACCCATGGACACCCGCAACATCAGAGGAATCACAGGTGCATTGCCAGCCTTTTATAAAGGAATACGCCCTTGTCTTGAAGGTTTGAACGTCGCATCGGTTCGAAAATACCGCTGACGAGAGATCGTTCAATCGTTCCACAGTTTTGCTGTGCGAGCCAGAAAGCTACGCGAGAAGCGCACAGTTGTGGTTGTGACCAGCCAACCATCTATATGAAGGGGATGCATAGTAGGCAATAGATTAATAGTAGGTAACTAGGTAACGGACCCGGGTACGTCCTAAAACTGCGACCAGACACCGAGGAATGGGGAGCAGCATTCTACAAAACTATCGG